CTGCCCGGCCCTCCCCGTGCCCGTCACAGGCCGGTGCCTGCGGGCCGCCGCGTGACTGCCCGGGGCCACTCTCGGCCACCTCGGGCAGTGGGGGGTGGCGGGGCGGTGAGAGATGAGGCCCCCCCCTGCGGAGCTCAGGAGGTGATAGTTTGTCTCTCCCGTCCTCACTGCGGATGAGCTTAGGGGGCAGCACCGAGCCAGTCTTTCAGTCGGGGCTGAAATGGGTGGTGGGTGCTGCGGCCCGTGGCATTTGGCCCAGACGCTTAGACGCTGGTGTGCCCCCCACCTGTCGCCGAGCTTCATTTCTTCCATCTATAAAAATGAACCGGGTGATCCTCATATCCTAGAATCCTGGTGAGGATTCAGTGAGGCAGTCGTTTAAATACACAGGAGACTGCCTGCCAAATAGATTTACTATTACCCTTACTCAAATTATTAAGTTGTTATTGACAAACCCAATGCCTACCTTTAAAAAATGTGCAAGTTTTGAAGTAGTGTAGGGAATAAAATATGGTAAAATGCGCTATGATAAAGGAAAATATGACTGCTGACATCTAAACAAGTTAAAATACAGCAGAGTTAGGAATTACAAGTGGAATTTCACAGATGCAGGGAAAAACATAAAAGTTTTATAATTTATCCTTAAAAAACTCAGTTAATGGATTATCTAATACTCAGGAAGAAGAAAACCTGTGCAGGACAATATTTTAAGAACTTTCAGAGTTACTAAAACATCTTTGAAATGCATGGGGTAGCGATTCTTTTGAAGTTTAAAAATATATATATTTGAAGCTGATTATGTTCCGATTCAAATACTTGTGGAGCGCCACTTGTTAGATAATCAATTCCAGATAACTGATTAGAGTGGAATATAATTCTACACAGAGATAAAAAATATTGTATTACCTAAGCACAAGAAGCCCAACTTACTTTATAAATGCAGTTGCCACCGGTTTAGGTGTTTACTTCACTTTCACAAGAGCTTCTAGCTGGGGGCGGGGGTGGGAGCAGCCCTCACTATCTTATTTCTAATTTTCATTCTGAGTCCCACCCCCATCCCCATCCTGGTCCAACCTTTAATAGCTTCTGCCCAGACACTGACTTTATTATGAAAGCCATTTTGATATCAGATTGTGACCTTATATTCTAATATAAGTTTCAGATCTAAATGCAGTCCGTTCTCTAGCCTTCCTCTCTCCCCATCCTCGCCCCCTCCGCCCTGCCCCTTTCTAACTATTTTGCATCCTAAATTGCATTTACTTGGGAAGGAGGCTGCCTTACCTGAGGCACTGCTTCTGAAGACTTAATGTGCATACGTGAATCACTTGAAGACCATAAAGTGCAGAGACTGAATTGGTCAAGGTGATACCTAGAGATTCTGCATAAAGAGCTCTATGGGATGCCAGTGCTGCTGGTTAGCTGACCACTTGACCTTATTACGGCTTTTGTGTCTGATTTAACTGTTCGCACTGTGGATTTGGCCTCTTTCATTTGCTAATTTGATCCTCAGGGCTTTAGGACCTCAGGCTGTAGGTTCTGCTCTCCTCACACAGCCTGACTGGCATCTCAGCTCATCCACACTGCTCTTGAGAGCTGGCCTCGGTCTCGGACTCAGTTGGCCTCCCACGTCTCCAGTGGACTGCGCTCATCTGCAGCTGGTGGTCAAGGGCCTGCTAGTATGTGAGACAGGGTTACTCAAACCCTTGCTAACTATACAAGAACTAACTGTCTCCCTCCTTCACAATTTCTTTTCTCCGCTCTCAACTTTATTATACCCTTTCACAAGAGACAGCAACTCTTACATCTTTTTCTTCAGGGATCCTCTGTCTTTATTATCCAAAGTAGTGCATTAGCCCTGCCTGGCGTGGCTCAGCCGTTGAGCATTGATCAGGGTTTGATTCCTGGTCAGGGCACATGCCCAGGTTGTGGGCTCCATCCCCAGTCAGGGACGTGCAGGAGGCAGCCGATCAATGACTCTCTCATCACTGATGTTTCTCTCTCTCTCTTCCCCTCTCCTTTCCTCTCTATGAAATCAATAAAGATATATTTTTTAAAAAAATTAGTGCATTAGATGGTAAGGAAATATAGAAATATAATAGGGACACATATATAATTTTAAATTTTCTAGTGGCCTCATTAAAAAGTAAGAGGAAACAGGTAAAATTGATTTTAATACATTTAATGGAATGTACCAAAATGTTATTAGGACATATAATTAATGTAAAAAACTTAATGAGCTATTTTAGATTGTTTTCTCTAACTAAAGCTTTGATTATTTTCTCTTACTAAATACTCTGTAATACCAATTCACTGCTTGGTTTCATTAATTTGTTAACAGTTTTATTCTGTGCCCTTGATAGAGAAGAGGAATAGAGAGGAGTAGTAAGAACTCTGGCACTGTAGCCTGAGTGTCTGCCTTCAAATCCCAGAGCTACCACTTGGACTAGCTTCCTAGCCTCTCGGGGCCTCAGTTTATAGAACTGTGAAATGGGCTTGAAAGGGCACGCAGTGTTGTTATAAGGAACTATGGAGTTGTTACATGTATAGTAATTAGATTATTGCCCAGTACATAACAGACTTTCAATAAATACTTACTGTTAACATTGCTGTTACTAAACTGGGCAAAGCTGATGAACAGGTCCAGACCTGCGAGAGCACCAGCGATCACTAGGCGGCAGCACTGAGATCCTGTTTTCAGCTTGGATCCCCAGCAAATACCCTGTACTTGCCCTGCTCAGGTATGCATGCTATGTATGTTTCTCAGAATGTTTTTCTTATTCTTGGACACTTTCTCAGGCCCTTTCTTCTGTAAGGGCCTATTGATCCTGCAGGCAATTTGATGATTTTTATCTTAAAATTGGTGCAAATTACAGGACCTTGTGATCTCAAATTATACCCACACTGACCACGTTGTACATAAGTATATATCTGCATTACACGTATGCAGTCACTGCTCTTTGATCCTTCATTGCTCTTAACTCTTACCATGAGGAAGAGCCTCTTAATATTTTTACCAGGGACAGGGATTGAGCAGAGTCTATATAAATATTTGTTATAAGAATAAATGACTCATTTTCTCACCCCCCTTCATATCTTCTTACTTCTGTTGGAACTAGGAGAAAAATCACTATCTAATTCATAACAAGGTTTCATTAGAGGACCTTTAAAGACAATGTGAGAGAGCTGGACCTGTGTGCCTAGCACGAGGGTCAGTTAAGAAATCTAGAAGCTTGTCTAACTAGACAGTCGAGGTGCCACAACTTCTGCAAATTTATTTTTCTGTCTGTGCTGAATTAAAATAAATGTCCTTATTGAAAAACATCTTTATTCTCATTCTTGGAAGTTTTCAATCACTAAATTATATTACAGTTGTCTTATATCACACTGAGAATCGTTTGTCTCCTTTCCTTCCCCCTCCCCCGGCCCATTTCCTTTTACTGTTCCAGCAATGAATCACTTTCATTGAAAGCCATTCTCTGCTCTGCTTGGCTAACTGAAGTCCTGTCTGGGAAACCTAAGAGCCAGCTCACAAAGCACTGCGTAGTTGAAGGCACACTAGCCCTGGTCCTGATTGAAAGAAAACATAGAAGTGTCTTCACAGTAAATGATACCTTGGGTGTTGGGGATTAGACACTGCAGAGCAATGCCAGAGTGACGGCAAAGAGGTGAAAAGGCCCGTGAGAAAGGTCTACTCTAAGGAGCAATGAGGAGGTTCTAGGTGTTTATTTATCAAAAGCTGAGGACCTGCAGGGTGGACAGTGTACCAGGTGGAGGAATACAGTCATGAACCAAATAAGGTGTCCGATCCCATGGAGCATGCATTCTGGTTTGGGGGGAATTCAGGCTATGAAAGGTATATATTAGGTGATGGTAAGAAGAAAAATCCAGCAAGTAAGTTATCGAGAGCGATTGTATGGGTGGCCGAGCCTTAACTAGCTCAACAGCAGACTCCTCTGATAAGGGAACGTGTAAGGAGAGAGTAGAATCACGTCAAAGACATGCAGATATCAGGGCGAAGGGCTTCCCTTGCAGCAGTAACAGCAAGTGCAAAAACCATGAGGCAGCAGCGTGTTTTGGTGCTTTTAACATTGAGGGGGGCGGTTGGTGGACTGAGAAAAGGCCTAACAGATGGTGGCTCACACAGGTCACTCATCTCCAGGGCCTCTGTCCATCCATCCAGAAGAGGTAAAAGGAAATCATAAACTTTGCTCTGATGAGGTTGCAAATTGATGTTTACTATGCGCTGGGGTAAAGAATGTGTTTGAAGTTAGAATGAGGAGACCTTGTTACCCCAGGTATCTGACCTCTTATTCCAGGGTAGTCAGCATCCCTTTTTTTCTCCCTAATTTTCTTACTCTGACCCTGTTTTGTTTGCCCATCTACCCAGGATTCTCTAAGTACCGTAGTAGCCAGGCCTGGGCAGGCAGGAGCCAGGAGAATGGCTATAGTGTCTTCAACAGTACTGGTCGACATACAAGATGAGGTGACCTGCCCCATCTGCCTGGAGCTCCTGACGGAACCCCTGAGCATAGACTGTGGCCACAGCTTCTGCCAAGTCTGCATTGCAGAGAATAACAAGGAATCGCGGGTCAACCAAGAAGGGGAGAGCAGCTGTCCTGTGTGCCAGACCAGCTACCAGCTCAGGAACCTGCGACCTAATCGGCACCTGGCCAACATAGCGGAGAGGCTCAGAGAGGTGGTGCTGGGCTCAGGGGAGCTGCTGAAGGTGATTCTTTGTGCGCACCATAGAGAGAAACTCCAGCTCTTCTGTAAGGAGGATGGGAAGCTAATTTGCTGGCTTTGCGAGAGGTCTCAGGAGCACCGTGGTCACCACACGTTCCTCATGGAGGAAGTTGCTCAGGAGTATCAGGTGGGAGCCCACGTGGAAGGAAAGTAGGGAGGAATGGAATTCTTGGCAGGAAACTTTAATTTCATGCTCTAATTTAATTTTTTGTAGTCCTCCCATTTAGCTAAAGGAATGAACCTGGAAAATTACTCCCCGGCCAAGAGTAGACACTTTACCTCTTTCTTGCTGCTCAGGATTAGCTCTGCATGTCCTTTTGAGTAGAGGATGTCGGGGGGCGGGGGGAATAAGGGGCTTGGTGGGTTGAGTCCAGGGGATATGTTGGCAATGAGAGTAAAAAACTGAAAGTACTTCATGGTCAGGTTCTTGCCCTGGGAGGCAAGAGAATCAGCGTCTTCCCACTGGTTTCTATCCCCTGTGTATAAAAGACACTTTGGCTTTCTCAGTGCTTCAGGCCAGGCTTCTGAGGTCAGCATGCTCTATCCCATTCACTCCTTGTCTAGTCACTGAGACAGTTTAATGCTGCACCCTGCTTGACTCGATGTGTTTCTTGCAGGAGAAGTTCCAGGAGTCTCTGAAGAGGCTGAAGCAAGAGCAGCAGGAAGCTGAGAAACTAAAAGCTGTTATCATAGAGAAGAGGACATCCTGGAAAGTAAGAGAGACTCTTCCTGAAAGTGTCCTAGGAATCAGGGGAGGGTATGGGAGTCGAGGGCAAGGAAACCCGGTCCTGTCTGTTCCTGTTTGGCTAGAGGAGCTTCCCTTTGCCTAGTCCTTCACTGCAACTCTTCCAAACAAGGCCACTGTTCCTGGTGCAGGGCAGGGGAGAGAAAAGGGGAGTTAGAAAATGAACATATGAAAAGGGAACCCAGGTTTTTTACGCCAGTCACATAGGAGAGGAACCACGGCTATGAGCAGCTTCTGATTCCTGATTCTGGACTTTGTTCTACAGTTTCAAGCTCTGAAACTTGGAAGGACTGGTTAGGCACAGGCCAATCATTTCTGCCTCCTCCCTCAAAATTGTATGGGGAGGCTGATGTAGAGGCATGAGAGGCCAGGGAGGCTGTTTGAAATATGAACCTCACCCAGGAACCCCAGTCTATATCGATAAGGCCACCCGAGGCTAGTGTTCTTGGAAGAGTGGAGGGGAGAATTGAAGAAAGACCAGGTTTTGCAGAACTTCCCCCCATCACTCCCCCTTTATAGTGAGACCTGGCCAGGGCAGCAGTGCTGAGCCTGACTGCCTTCCGCCCCTTAGAGGGGAGACCCTCAGCTCCACAGACTAGCAGACTCTCTCTTCCATGTCCTTGAAGAATCAGATGGAACCTGAGAGACACAGGATCCAGACAGAGTTTAATCAGTTGAGAAACATCCTGGACAAAGAGGAGCAGCGACAACTGAAAAAGCTGGAGGAGGAGGAGAGGAAGGGGCTGAATATTATAGAAGAGGCTGAGGTTGAGCTGGTCCACCAGAGCCAGGCACTGAAGGAGCTCATCTTAGATCTGGAGCGTCGATGTCAGGGGTCCACAATGGAACTGCTGCAGGTAAGACCCATGAAGGAGCCCCAACACTAGAGTCAGGGAAAAGACGGACCAACTTTCCTACCCTTCTCACATAGAACTGATATCCTGGTGGGGGCAAGAACAAAATTCTTTTGACCCTGGAGTGCTTCTTCCCTGTTCAATTGTGCAGAGGTCATGGATAAAGCATAGGTAATTAAAAGAACAGATGCTAAGGGTATGTCTCACTTTTATGTGTTATATATAAAAGGTGGTCCAAAAGTTCATTTGATACTGTGGAGAAAATTTATTGTGTCCAGTGATGTTCTATGGCAGCATTAATCAGTCTTGGCATTATTGACATATTGGGCTAGAAAAGTTGCTGCATAGGGCTGCCCTGTATGTTGTAAGATGTAGCAGCATCCCTGACCTCTGCCCACTAGATACCAGTAATACCCACGCCCAGCTGTGACAACCAAAAAACCCTCCAGACATTGCCAAATGTCCCTTGGGGGTAACATCTCCCACATCCCCCTGTTGAGAATCACAGCCCATTAGGCACGTGTTGTCGCTAATTCTCTGTTATGATTTGTCATATGCTTTCACCCAGCTTCATCACACGTAAACACATACCAAGCTCAAGTGCCCAGGGATTCTTATGTAATCACCAGCCCTTCTTTGCTTTCACTCTCTTCTCTAGGGCAGAATCATTTAACATGTCATAGTAGGAATTTGAACCGGTCTTTTAAGACACAAGAAGACTGGGCTCTGGTGTAGGTGTGTAGGTCGAGAGGGTGCAAGGTGTCAAATGTAGAGAGATTGGATGGAGCTTGAACTGAGGTTAAAATCTGAACAGCTGGTTTTTACATAGAGTGAATCCTGTGACTATGAAGTTGAGGCAGAAAGCACCTTGTGACATTCTGGAACCTTTAAGTCCTTCCTTATTTTTTGTCTGTCTTGCTTTCCTATTGCTCTAATTTCTTTACTTACTCTTGGGCCCTAGTGTTGAGGTCAAGGGGTAGTCACTTTCTACCCATTGGAGCTTTTCCTTACTGACTGCTTCTGATTTCACACCTTCATTTTATTCTTTTTGCCCTTTTTTTTTTATCTTTGATGTTGGGTTCCCCTAACGTTTTCTACTGTCCCTCACCCCCACCCTCCCAGTTCTAGTCTCTCCATAGTCTCCTCAAACTAAATGTTGCTCTGTAAATGCAAAGAGATCATCAATTTATATCTCTAGTCCAGGCATCTGTCTAGACTCCCACACCCATTAGTATGGCTACCCAGCAGACATTTGAATTTGAATGTTATCTCAACCCAGTCTGTTTTTCTAGAACTTGCCCATCACACACACATTCTTCTGTTCTATGTCTATGTGACATTGTTATCCATTAAGATTTGATAACCGAATATAAGCCTGCAGCTTTCCAGTTTCAAAATGTAAACCATGAGAATAGAGCTAACACAGAAGAAATAGCCATAGAGCAGCACCTGATTGGATCATTTGAGTTCCTCAGTACAACCTCGCCTTAAAATTGATATAATCCTAGATATTTGGTGTAAGTTGACACATCTACCACCTCTACTACTTTCCATATTTGAGCCAATTTGAGTTGTGTTTCTGTTAAATGCTTTGATAGTTATTCCTGTTACATAGACCAAGCCATCGGGCTTTTTCTTCAGTCACTGAAATGTATAAAGCAGAAGTTAGGGAGGCCAGATAGTCCGTGAAGTAATTCTACTCAGATGAGGTAGACAGTGGCAGTGATGACCTGGAAAAGCAGGTGGTTAAAACAAGTTAAGGGTATGAAATGGACTGGCTTCATCTAAGATGGGACATCAGGGTGAATATAAGGTGGTTTTTAGGAAAGTACTTTATACCTAAATTTGGTGACTACGTGGATGGTGGATGCTGGCATCATTGAGGAAGGTAGAAGACAATAGAGGAGACCTCATGTTTGGGAAAAAAGTAAATTTTCTTTTAAAAATCTTGAGTTGTTGGTGCCTGTGGCTCATTTGCTGAGGTATATAGGAGAGATCTGTGAAGTACAGGGTTGGGTATCTACACGTGTGTGTTGAAGTCAGGAAAAATAGATGAAGTCAGCAAAGAGAGCATAGAGGATTAGAGGAGGTGAGGTTTCAGAAACAACCACATTTGCACTTGCCAGGTAGCTCAGTAGGTTAAAGTATCATCCTGATGTGCCAAGATTTCAGGTTCGATCCCCGGTCACATCACGGTGCATACAAGAAGCAACCAATAAATGTATAAATAAGAGGAAACACAAATCAATCCATCTCTTTCTCTCTCTCTCAAAATAAATAAATAAAAATTAAAAATATATATATTACAAAAGAAACAGCCACATTTAAGGCCCTTGTATCCTCAGCAACCAGAATGTAAGCATTTTCAAGGACAGAAATTATGGCTTAATTATGAAAGATTCTCTCTAGGGTCAGATACAACATCTGACAAATATAAGTGATGTATGTATATAACATTAAACACCTACACACACACACACACACACACGGTTGTAAAAATAAAGGTGCCAGTGAATGAATCATCATTTCCTAACATCCCTACATAGGGTCTCAGGAACTATGTGCTTTCAAGTTCTTACCTCTCGACCTTGTTGCCTCCATATCGGGCTCATCAGTATTCCCATCATATAGGGTGGTGGGGATGGGGTGAGGAAGCTGGATGAGGCTGTGCTGGAGGACAGGGCCTCTGACTCCTTGACTTAACCTGTCTCTTTCCTCCCTAGGATGTGAGTGATGTCACAGAAAGGTATGTGCAGGAGAACACGAGGTGGTTCCTTTGGAGTGACAAAAGATTTCTGCACCCACCCATAAAGTTACCTTATGGTCAGTGGGAAAGGAAAAAAATCACAAGGCAGAGAAGATTTGGGACTGTGGTGTCTTGAGTTTCTCATCATGAGAATTTTTGGGCCACCCAAAATAAAGACAATGGCCTGGTTTCTATGGTAGGAGAATTTGGGTAATGAAGGTTCACAAATTGGGGATAGCAGTGCTCTTAAGAATAAAGGGTTATAGTATCCTTGATTCTCTGAGTGAGGTTTGAGGTACAAACCTCTGTACCTGTTTCCAGCCCTAATTCTAGTCGTTATGACTACCTCAAAATACCTTCTCATTGCCCCTGTATTTTATCAGAGGGAAGTTTTCTATCTGCATTGTTTCCCAAGGTCCACAGTTCAGTTCTTGGAACATCTGCCTTGAATTTTCCTTTCTCCCTTGGCTTTGCATCAGTCGATGTCTTGCTACCTAATTCTCCTCACACTCCTATTTTTCTCAGTTCCAATAAAAGCAGACCTGAGGTCTTGAGAAGAGTAGTTTTAGCCCAAGATCAAAACATGTTCTCCTCTATCCCATACACTAGAATCTCATTCTTGAAGGTGACATCTAAAATTGCCTACACACCAGGTACCTTAGAGCTCTCACAGACAAATGAAATATGGAGCCTTGTCCTTTTCAAAGACTGCTCTCAGTTTGAAGGTGAGGACATTTCCTTTCTCCAACTGGTATAATCCTAAGAGACAGTGAATCCTAAAGTGCTGTTCTGAAGGCCTTTTTAGGCCTCTGGGAGCCTCTAAGGCTTAAATCCAGAAAGTCTTCAGAAAGTTTGGTGCTCTCAAAGCCCCAGTAACAGGTTCTTGGTGTTCTGCCTGTCAACACACATTTCCTGCCCCTCATGATAGACCCTCTGAGTTGGCACTGACAGTTTAAATATTTTGGTGGCTTTTCTTTTTTTGAGATAGCAAAGGATTTTGCAGCCATTGTTTTACTGAATTTTATATAACCTCTAACAGAGAGAAGGGAAAAATATTAATATGTCTTACAGAAACAACAACACAAACATAAAAGAGGCTTTAAGGGGTTAAATCTTACCAAAGTTTACAGATAGTAAGAAGTTTCTGATTCAGGCCTTCTGGCTCCAATGTCAGGGCTCTTTGTGGGATGATGCTAATTTTGAGTCTTGAAAGTTCACCAATGGGCCTGGGAGATGAAGGACAGCGGTGCCGAAGGAACCCAAGGTCGGCCATGTAGGAGATTTACAATATCTGTTCCCTAGGAGTGAGTATTGGACTCTGAAGAAGCCAGAAGATCTACCCACCAAACTGAAGAGTGTGTTTCGAGCCCCAGATCTGAAAAAGATGCTACGGGTGGTCCGAGGTGAGGAGGTTGAGGAGACAGAATTTGAGTGTGGATGATTATAGTAGTAAGGAATAAATAGAGTAGAGGATATAGTTGGTATTTGGAAATAGCGGGGGAGAGGGTGGGACATCATGTGTGAAGAAGATACAGTTCACATTTAAGGGGGAATAAAATGGCCAGCTCACATCCTCCCCGAATTCGCTGCCACACCCCTGAGTCAGGTAAGGGGAGAGACATCAGACCTGAGGCTGTTGGTTCTCTGCATGATTGACGTTTTCTCATTACAGAGCTGACAGATGTCCAGAGCTACTGGGGTGAGTAGAACCGTGGCCTCTTTGAGCTGCCGTGTTCTGACCCTCTTTTACATGGTCCTCTGCAAACATTCCCCCGCACACTCAGGTTTAAACTGGTGATGCTTCCACTCCTGCCCCACCACAGAGCCCCAGTTCCTCCCCCCCTCCCCGTTTCCTCTTCTCAATGCAAAAGACCCCTGCACCCACCCTCATCTGCTGATGTTGTGCCTTTTCCCCACAGTGGATGTGACTCTGAATCCACACACAGCTAATTTAAATCTCGTCCTGTCTAAAAACCGGAGACAGGTGAGATTTGTGGGTGCCAAGCTGCCTGGGTCTCATCTGGAAGAGCACTATGACTGTGGTGTCCTGGGCTCTCAGCACTTCTCCTCAGGAAAACATTACTGGGAGGTAGATGTGGCCAAGAAGACTGACTGGATCCTGGGCGTGTGCAGCCACGCAGTGGCACCTCCATTCTCTGTCAACCAGTTTGTGAACAATCGCAATGTTTACTCCAGATATCAACCTCAGAATGGCTACTGGGTGATTGGGTTGCATCATAAACATGAATATAGAGCTTATGAGGACTCTTCCAGCTCCCTGCTCCTCTCCATGACTGTGCCCCCTCGCCGTGTTGGGGTTTTCTTAGACTATGAAGCCGGCACGGTCTCCTTTTTTAATGTCACAAACCATGGCTTTCCCATCTATACCTTCACTAAATATTACTTTCCTACCACTCTCTGTCCATATTTTAATCCTTGCAACTGTGTAGTCCCAATGTCCCTGCGCCGTCCAAGCTCTTGAACATTCTGTCTTCACCCACATCTGAGCAGTATCCTTTGAGGGTCACCCACACCTCAGTCTCCTTTTTGACCTTCTGTTTCCTGCATTCTCTCTCCTTTTTTATTGAACATTTATTCAGTGCTAGAATGCACCCAGTGGTGACAATATCCTCCATTAAATAACGACAGATCTTGAGATGGGTGGGGGGGGTAACTTTCAACCTTTTATTATTAACCGTGCTATTTGAGGGAGATTTTTTGGTGGTGGTGGTGCATGGAATCAAATGTAAGAAGTTCTCTTAATTTGCTGTAAGTTTGGAATGGAAAGTTGAGTTTCAACAGATAATTGTCTTAATTATTGAGATAATCGTGTGTCATTTTTATTGTTATCAGAGTACATTGATTTGTTTCAATGTTTAAATCTAATACAAATTCCTGAAATAAGCCACTATTATTCATGTGCAATACTGAATTTGTTTTTGCTAATACATAGTTTAGGTTTTGTTTTTATCTCTGTTTATGAAAGAAATTGAGCTGTAATTTTACATTCTTGTAACTTCATAGGTTTTATAAAATGCAATAAATGAGCAAAGAAATTGATGTATTTTTGTATAAGTATATATATGATTGCAAAGACCTATTATCATGTTAATTTTGGATGCTTTAAAATTAAAGAAAGATTCTAACTTCAGTTTTCACTACAGCCTTCATGGACTTTAAAAATTTAAGGGTAGTAATTGAAAACTTAAAACAAAATCTTCCAAATTCATTGAAGCACAAAAAGGAAAGGAGGAAATGATCAATCCAATAGATTATTTTAGGAAGAGAATGATTTCTATCCATTTGTCCACATCCCCTTTCCTGAATGCTCAACATGAACAGCTAGGAAGTGAGTAGCTGTAACTTTGGTAAAGAGGTGCTATATGCTTTTTGAGCCAACTGTAAAAGAAATATGAGGTGGTTGTGAGGGTGGAAACAAATATCAAGGAGTTGACCAGAGCTGGTGTCCAATATGGTAGCCAAGGGCCACTGGCAATTCAAATGTGACTCGTCTGAATTGAGATGTGCTATAGGTGAAATGCACGCCAGATTTTGAAGACTTGGTTCAAAAAATAATGTAAAAGATCTTATTAATAATTGTTATATTGTAGAGTACAATAATAACATTTTGGATATATTGGATTAAATAAAGTATACATTATTTTCACCTGTTTCACTTTACTTGTTTGATGTAGATACTAGAAAATTTAGAATTACGTATGTGGCTCACGTTATATTTCTATTGGACAGCTTATCCTGTAATGCAGTTTCTCCCCATAAGAGGGCTGTAGTATAAAGCAGATACGCAGATACTTTTATCTCTACATGGACCCTCTACCTCTCTGAGGCATTTTTGTTGAAGGTAATGGCAGAGAAGAGGATCTGAGCATAACTGGAAATTTACAATTTAGAAGGTCCTAGAAAGGGATCATGGCCAGAGAATAGATTGTGCATAGTCTGTTCCCTGTCTTTAGCCCTCAGTCTGTGGGACATTGAAATTCATCATGGTTTGAGGAAATACAAAGTTCATCCTCAGGGCTCAGCTCTAGTTAATTAGTGCCTGTGGTGAAATGAAGTATAAGTCATAGTAAAAGCCCAGTACTGGGTTGCTCTAGGGTAGGGCTTCATTTGGGAGGTTCAATGCACACTCCTCATTCTGATCTGGACTTCAATTGGAAGAAATATGAAAGGAGACAGAGTAGGCAAACCAGTGCCCATATAGCTGGTGGAAGCTGGGGGATGAGAGATGATGGTAAAAGAATCTGTAATTGTGTCCTTCCTGTTTATTTTCCCATGTAGTAAGTTCCAGGCGAAAGGACTTAGCCCAGCTGTCCTCTCCCTATGGAGGTGTATCCAGTGAATGGCCTTAGTTAACAGGGAAGTCAAACAGCTTGCTGGGATGCTGTAGGTGGGATGTGGGGAGAATTATTAGGATACATGGAATGCGTTTTCAGCTCTGACTTTCTCTTGGGGGGTCTGGGCAGAGGCCTCCAGGCTTTGACATTTTTGGTGTGATGTAGGCTAAACTATGAAAAATAAATCCAAAAACATAAAATGGATCAAATACTAAGTAACTTTATTTCTTGTTCATGTGAAAATCTAACATGAGTGTAACTAGTTGGTGAATGGCACTGTTGCACATGGGATTCATGGGCCAAGCTTTCTTCCATCTGTGGCTCTGCCATCCCCTAAGACAGCATTGCCAATTGCCATCAGCATCAAGACAGCAGAAGGGTAATGAAAACGGGAGACAGTTTGCTTCTTAAATCCTTAGTTCATATATGGAATTCATCATTTCTGCTCATAACTTTCTGTCCCTGAGAATAGCTATGTGGCCCCACCTACAGGAAGGACTCTGTTTATAATAAACGGAACTGTTCACACTATGGTTCCAACTTCCCTTTCTCTTTCTTTTTTCCTTCCATAAATACCCCTCCGTCTTGGCACAAGCCAGGTGTGCACGTGGCTGGCCATGTCTACATGCGCTGGGTTGCAATCCTTTCTTTTTTCTGAATAAATCCCTTTTGGTGACAAAACACCTAATCAATATTATTTTTTCAGTTGACAGATCCTACAGGTAACAGCCCTATATCCTAAATGGTATAAATTTTCTTGAGAATATTGGAGACTTAACAAAGCTTGTTTTATCTTCAACTCATGGGAAGGATGAGGGACAGACATCTCGTAGTTGATAAATAAATGTTAATTATCTTTATGCCAAACATGCTAGTATGCCAAGTGGTCATCTTTAACAAACTTACACTTCTTTTAGAATATTTATATTTGATGTGGGATATGAGTGCACTTTTGTCATTGAATGTGTTTTCAGAAAGCTGAGGTAAACAGTTGATTCTCTACCGGTGGCATTTGTATACTTCATGCGTTCTCACAGGCCTCAGATTTTCTTCTTCATTTGGTAAATGTGCCACTTAGCAGCATTGTGTGCAAAATATTCAGAAGGTCTCCTTTGACAACTGATGGGTGGAGTTTTATACCAGAAGCTTAAGCTCTGAATGTCTGTACTTGTGCTGTGCTAGCTGCCCTAGCACCAGCCCCTGCCCTTCTGAGTCGTTCACTCTCCAACTACCACTGGCTGGGGTCACAGGTGGAGGCAACTGCAGCAGCCTGCGGTCTTTTATAGAGCTGGGCTGATGATTTCAGTTTTGGGGAGTTACCCCAGCTCCTTTCTGTCTCCAGATTGCTGTCTTACTTCATATGGGGAGACTTGTTTTTTTGTAAGAATTTGATAGGGTACTAAAATAAATTTCTGCAAAGGGAGTGTGATCATTTTACACAAACGAACAAGGTAAAATGTAGCACAACTAGCAAAACTGAATGGGCAAGTAGTTCGTTACAAATTGAAATATTAAAAAACATATATTGCACGGTTCTATGTTAATAAGCTTTAGAATGCCTGTTAAGTAGTTCTGTGAAAAAATTTAAAAGTATAATATTTAAAAAACAGCCAGAAAAGCTTCAAACTAAAATAAAAACGATGTACAAAATTATCTTTCGTTCCGTGGGGCCTTATGCTTACTGATACTGTGGAGACACAGGCTTCTGCTTTGTTTCTGCAAGGAGAGGCTCACTGAGAAGCGAGCCCTGCTGGGCCCTGCTCTGGGAGAGTGCGGGACTATGGGCAATAATGGGAGCAAAACCAGAGGGATCTAGGAACGTGCAACTGGGCAGAATCTATTTTTTTAATATGACCTTTCTCCTTTCTTTCCTTTTGGTTTAAACTGGCCTCATTCAGCACCCTGACTCACCCACTTCCCTCTGCCTTGCATGTCCACTCCCTTAGGTATTAAACCCTCAGGACAATGAAGTTCTAGTCAGCATCAGATAATCTCAGGAACAAAGCCTTGGGTCTGTTGACTACAGAGGCTGAGTTTCAGTCAAACTAGACCTTAGTTGTGTTTCAGCTCCAGACCCAGAAAAGCCGAACCACCCCACCGACCACACCCTCATGGCATCAGACAGAATGACATCATGCTGACATTAAGACCTGATACCATGCTCAACTACTCCCTGCCTTGGCCCTGTCCAACCAGCAGAGCCCACAACCCCAGCTCCCTCTGTCGCCATAATTAATGATTTTTTCCCCTATGTAACCCATCCCTTAGAAGACATCAGGGAGACCAGGTCTTAGAGCAATAGCTCACCTGTGATCTGGGTTTGGCATCATTTCCTTAAAAATAAACCTTTACTTTCTTTGCTGAAAACTGCTGTTTGCGATTGATTGAGCAAACCCCTTTACTTGGTAACAAAAGCTGCCACTTGGCTCCTGCTCTGATATCTATGTAGTGGTTGTCATCATCCTCTGGATAACTTCAGTTCTCCCTCTGCCTGTATAAATGAATCTTCATGGTGTGACTGTTGCCCACCTCTGTGGCCTCTCTTCTGTTTACCTGGAGCTCAAAGTACAATCCCGTGGAACCACTTGCAGATTGCTGAGTACACCAAACTTGTTTACCCTCCCATCCAGGCCAGGGTGGGTACGGTTTTTGAAGCTGCCGGTAATGCACAAGAGGAACTCTTGATACCCTAAGATGAGTTTCCAAAGGTGACCATTTTTTCCTACTTTGAACATACTACATGTTGGTAGATGCAACGTTGGACTGGATAAGTCTTTGTTGTGGGAGCTGTCCTATGCATTGTCCTATGGTTAGCTGTATCCCTGACCTCTACCCACTAGATGGCAGCAGCCTTCCTCGTAGTCTTGACAAATATCCCCTGGGGCAAATCTTCCCTCCCCACCCCACCCTTCTACTGCATTACTCTTGGCAGTGCTAAAGGACCGCAGCCCATTTGGCCCAGAAGCTCCTCCCTCTTTTCTTTTTCTGCCAGCCTCAAGAATTTCACTTTCACTTCTCAGCCAGTTCCTCCCAAGGAACTACTTCATGTAGACTGAGCCCCTGTGTGGGGCATGAATCTTGACAGGAACTGCCCTGTCTTTTCCTCACCACTTAAACTGGGAGTCAAGACATCTCCGCCAGTACTTGAAGGTATGTGGGGAGGTTTAAGGCAGGCAGAGGGTGGGAGACTCCCAGAGAAAAGTACTAGGTGAAATTAGGTGAGTTTAGTTTGTGGCCCAGATGTGCTCTGAAGGGAAGAAAAGCCAGCTGCAGGCTTCCTGCTCTGAGTGCGGACGGATGGCAGGTCTGGAGAGGCAGAAGGCCTTGTTTCCTGGAGGGGCCCTATTTTTCCAAGCTGAGTTCATCCCCCCTCCTCTCTTTACAGATTCGATTATCTATCTTGCAGAAGGGAACTGTAATCTCTGTATTTGTGTCTCTATCTGTCTCTCAACATCTCTGTTAAAGAGATACACAGAAAGTCTCTTCTGCCCAACTCCACCCCCTGTTTGTAAAAGAGGTCCCTGTTTTACAAATTTGTGAAAGCCCAAGTTCCTACTACGGGGCATCAGATAGAATGGAGCCTTGGGGGCATTGCCAGGGGTACCTGATTCTTTTACTCCCCCCTCCCCCCTCCCCAGCAACCCCTGAGAGGCTGTCTGTGGCCTGCATGACATATCCTCACGGCTGGTCCGCCTGAAGACAGCAGGTTGAGTGACCTGCCTGCTGCCCGCCCGCGAGGCTGCCTTTTCTCCTGTGTCCCCGAGCTGCAGCCTCAGGGCCCCCTCTGCGCTTCCCTGAACAGGCCGGCCTGCTGCCGTCGATGCTGGCGTCCTCACCTGCCTTAGAGCGCTCACACGCACCTCTGCGTCACGGTTCCCTCTACTGCTTCCTGTTTTTCTTTGTTCAGAGCTAATTAATAGGGGTTGATTATTGCTCAGAGGGGCCCAAAGATGAAATGGTCTTGCTAAGAACTGTGCTCTGACACTAATTATGTCTCATCCTAAGCTCATTTGCGAGCAATTTGCACACTTTTGACATGTCACATCTTTTCTGACACATGCCCAATCTGTCCTACACTCCCGCTCTCCCACTTTTCAGAAATCACTGTTACTGCCTTCCTGGGAGTCTATGCCTACCCTAGAGAGGGTCCATTTCTGCCCAGATATTGTCTCCCCAGGGTAAAGAACAAGGCCCAACACATGGGGTAAAATAGATGTATTTATTTATTTTTAAAATTAAAAAATATATATCTTTATTGATTTCAGAGAGAGGAAAGGAGAGGGAGAGAGAGAGAGAGAAACATCAATGATGAGAGTCATCATTGATCGACTGCCTCCTGCAGGCCCTCAACTGGGGATCGAGCCCGCAACCCGGGCATGTGCCCTAACCAGGAATTGAACCGCCATCTCCTGGATCCGACTTCGATGTTCAACCGCTGAGCCACGCCCAGCCGGGCTTTTTAAATTTTAATTCATATGAACTAAAGCAGGCTGCTGCTGTGAAAAAGTGCAATGAATATCCATTCAACATACAACTCCTTGTAGCCCTACTCTGATATAAGGTCCACAATCCCATGGGAGAAAGCATGTTCCATTCCTCTCTCCACCATAGGTTCTTGGTGTTTTTCAGTATTGGTTGCATACTGAATAGAATAAGAGATAACAGAGAACTGCACACCTATGGCTGGCTTAGAGCTTCAATTGTAAGCAGGGGTAGAAATTATCATTTTTTGTAAACTCCTGTTTTCACTAGTCATCAGAGCCTGATCTAATCAATTGTCACTGCAGAAAGGGGCGAATAGTATATGGACTTTAAACAATTGTTAGTATCTGTACCATTGGCTGTATTGCACCTGCCAACCCACATCCATGGCAGTCTTATTCCTCATCAGGTTCACTTCATGGATCATTGGAGAAACGGGCAGATTTCTAGGCCTAAATGTATCTCCATACAGCTTTCATTACACTCCCATCCTTTCTTTTTAGAGCAAGGGCGAGATTCATAGTTTGTTATATACCTCAGATCTTTCATTATCAAATCTTCTCAGCTATATTAATAACCTAATGCTGCTGTAACAAATTACCACACATTAAATGGGTTAAAACAGAAAAATTTATTATTTCACCATTCAGGAGGCCAGAAGTCCAAAGCCAAAGTAGTAGTAGAGTTGGTGTCTCCAGGAGGCTCTAAGGGACAATCTGTTCCATGTCTGTCTCCTACCTTCTGGTGGTTTCCAGGAGTCTTTGGCATTCCTGCCTTGCTGCTGTATTACTCCAGTCTCTGCCACCGTTGTCACATGTCTTTCCTCCCTATGTGTCTGTGTACCCTTTCCTCTTATACTGACTCTGGTCTTTGGATTTAGCTCCTACCATCTTCCAGTATGACCTCATCTTAACTTGATTACATCTGCAAAGACCTCAATGCAAAATAAGGCTACATTCACACAGGCAAATATATTTGTGGGAGGGACACAATTTCAGTTAACTAGAAGAAGTATAAAGACATCCATAACTACTGAGGTCTTCACACTCCCTCCCCTTACAGATCCTTGTTCATATTTAACCCAGGTTGTAAGAGTCAACATTCCCGTGCAGCCACTTCATGGTATGTCTTCTGACTGACCACCAGCTATAGTTTCAGGTTTGGTTTGCCATTCCCACTCCTGTGACAACAGAACATGAACCAGCCAGGTTTGCTTAGCTTAGCAAAGACATATAAGATAGAAGACACAACATGTTGGCATGACTGCCTCAGGTGAGCTTTAGTGAGGGTCCACACAAGGATACAGAAGTACGTTATCCTCCTCATGACAGGTCTTTTGTAAACAAGAGACTATCACTTTTATATCTTTTAGGAAGTGTCACATTTCTAGCCTCTTTAGGTGCCTGTCATGCAAAAGGCCTAGCAGCTCTGCACACCAGCCACACTGGCATTCTAAAATTCGTAGAAGATGCTGTGTCTTCCATCATTAGGGCATTCATATATGTGATTCCTTCTCCCTAAATATTTTCCCTCTTTCTCATTCCATATTCCCTTCTCGTCTTTCAGCTTTCAGTTCAATCCTTACTTATTCAAAGGGGATTTTTTTTTTTTTATGGTCTCCTATTTGATTTCCCAAAAATGTGTACCTCTGTGTGGTAGTGTTTATAGTGTTTATCATACTTACCAGACCTCTGAAAGAGGACCCTGAGGACATTATATTCACCCCAATTCAACTTACTGAATTGAATAATCTTTGTAAGTCCCTTGATTCCATTTACACATCTGAATAAAGGGAGCACTCTTATTTTTCAAGGTTTTTCACATGAGGAATAAATAGGTAAAAGTCAGGTATAGTCAGTCGTAACTGGTTAACAGCTGTTAGTGATAAGATTACTTCCCTATAGTGGTTCTTGCTATTTCTGTTGGTGTCTCCTGGGAGTGAATATGAGACAGCTTTGTGTGGGACACATATATTAAAAGAGAAATACTTCCTCACTGGAAACCATTTCTGTGGCCCCAGAGCTCACCTGTTGGTGAACAACTAATTAATGGAACAGAAAGATAAAATGCTGATTTAAAAAAAGAAAGTTTCATCACCTATGGGAAAATGAGGAGGTTCTTTCTATATTTATCAAGCATTGTGTTCCCTTGTTTTCTCAGCTCGGCAGTGAATAAAAACAAAGTGCTTGGTCTGTGTGTGGATTACATTTTAAAAATAGGATATTTAAGAAAGAATAGCATATACTACATAGTAGTAATAAGAAAACGATGGCAAATGATACACCAAGGGATGTTCTGGTGATTGTGCTGTAGAGAAGTTAGTCATAATAGGCCCCTGTGTTGAGAAGACATGCAAGAAGAGAGCTTGGTGAAGTATAAGAGGAAGTCATACAAATATCAAGGAGAGGATCATTCGAGGATGAAAGAAAAGCCAAAGCTCTGAGGCACTGGTGGCTTACCCAAGTCATTAAATTCATCCTCCCCGGCCCCCCTTTTTCTTTCTGGTCCTTCCATTTTTCAGCTCTGGCCAGTCCTTAATGTCTGCATCCTTTTTGTTTGTGCCATTCTTACACCATCTCCTTTCAATTTGCCCATCCATATAAGGAATCTTTAAGTAAGAAGAGCCTCAGGAAGAAACCAGGGGAGCAGCTGACATGGCTTTCAAATTCCTGGTGAACATAAAGGAGAAGGTGACTTGTGCCATCTGCATGGAGCTTTTGACAGAACCCTTGAGTCTAAACTGTGGCCACAGCTTCTGCCGAGCCTGCATCACTGACAAGGAGATCGGCCCAGGGGGGGAAAGCAGCTGTCCTGTGTGTGCTGTCAGATACTCGCTTGGAAATCTATGGGTTAATCAGCATCTGGCCAACATAGTGGAGAAGCTCAGAGAGGTCAAGCTAAGCCCAGAGGAGTCGCAGAAGAGAGATCTCTGTGTGAGCCATGGAGAGAAACTCCGACTCTTTTGTAAGGTGGATAGGAAAGCTGTTTGTCAGCTTTGTGAATTCAGTTCTCAGGAGCACCTTGGTCATCAGATGTTTCCCATGGAGGTGGTAGTCAAGGAATATGAGGTAAGGCCCAGCATGAAGGGAGATGGGGTGGAAGATAGGACTTGGTGGGAAATCTCACCTTTCCATCCTGCTTTACTCACTGCAGCATCTTAGTACTAAGCCCTGTAACCTTCTTCCATGTATGTCTCTTCCCCTATGCTCAGCTTCCCATGCCTGCAGAACATTTCTGTGTATTCTCCCTTTTACATAAAAGATGAGTCTAGAGTACAGACTTTGACCAATGTGAAAAGTTTTCCTCTCTTCTCCTTTGCCGTGTGGATGGAGAATTTCTTTCATAGGTTTCGCCCTCATCGCTCCTCTCAGCAGGATGGTTGCTGTTGAACACTGGGGATTGGATGTGGAACCAGTTTTAATAACAGGATGGGACTTTCCTTGGCCATAGCAGAATCAGTATTTACTCTAAAAGAAAGAAAATCAGGCTGCTCTTGGTGAGGGGCTGGTGACTTCCATCACCCAGGAATAAAGAAAGCATTCACCTCCTCAGATTTTTCTCCCATGCCATAGATTCTCATCACCAGATTCTAAACACAGTTTCAGTAAAACCAGTCTCTTCGGAGCCCATAGCTTGACTCTGTGATTCCTCTCTCACAGGAGAAGCTCCATGCAGCTCTGGACAGGCTGAGGAAGGAGCATCAGGAAGCTGAGAGGTTGGGCACTGACATCAGAGAAGAGAGAGCTTCTTGGAAGGTAGGAGGAGACTCTCCCTAAGGAAGCTCTGAGATAGGAATTTTGGCAGGGCCTTCCATGCCGATCACAAGGAAGCCCCTTCCTCTTCGTTTCCTGGCGTTGAATGAGTCCAGAAGCCATTTGGTTAGTTCCCTTGTCCTGTCTCTGCTGGGGGAAGGAGCAGGAAAATGGGTGTTACAAGTAAACACATTACAGTTGTAAATGTCACAAGTACACCCAGATATTTGGAATTGAGAGCAAAGACAGTCTTAATGGAAGGAAGGCTGAAGAACTCAGTTTTCCATCTTTTTCCAGTGAGGCTCTGACACCTCCAGTGGAAGCAAGACACTGGGCAAAAGACCCGGATCTTCCTCCAAGTCCAAATGTGAGAGTGTGGGAATGCGGGAGGACATGAATGTCCAGGACAGCTGCTTACAACCTAAACCTTACTCAAGCCTCACATTTGTTCCAGGGTTGGCCTAGATAAGAGAGTCTGAGGCCTCTTCATCTGTAGTGCAAAGAAAATACCAGGAAAAACAGCTCTCCCCCAAATTGCTCCCCTATTTCTACCCCTCTCCTGTTTAGAACTTCCCGAAAAACAATTTTTTTTTTCCTGACTCCTAATCCCTTGCAATAGGCTCTCAGGCTGATAGACTCATCACTTCTCTCCCTTGTTCAATCTTGCAGAATCAGATACAGATGGAGAGACAAAGGATACAAACAGAATTCAATCAGCTTAGAAGCATCCTGGACAGCGAGGAGCAAAAAGAACTGCAGAAATTGGAGGAAGAGGAGACCAAGACCCTGGATGGCTTAGCTGAGGCGGAGAATGAACTGGCTCAGCAGAGCGAGCTGCTGAAAGAGCTCATCTCAGATCTGGAGCGTCGCAGCGAATGGTCAGCCATGGAGCTGCTGCAGGTAAAAAGGGTGACCCAATCTAAGATTCTTAAAACACAGTCTAAATTGCCTTCTCTCTAATCCTGGTGTTGGTGCTAACAGGTCCTTTTGGCCTTGTAGAGAGTCTGAGAATAAAGTCCACAGATAGGGAAGGAAAGAGAATCGTGAAACACAAAAAGGCCAGGATTTTAGCTTCCAGATCCATCTGGGACTAAAGTAATATCTCTCGGGACACAATCCTTTTTCTTTTCATTAAGGAGATTTTAGTTGACTTCTTTGTCAGGTACTACCGATTATGTTAATACAAAGAGCACACACTCTTTGGTTGTAAACCGGCCAGCAGCATTTAAGAGTAAAGCCAAATAGTTTGATACATACTGTTCAAAAACAAAGCGGTGATGGTGTGGAAATGCAGACAACCAAAAGAAGTTAAAGATATGACAAGGACTGGAGTGATAAGAGCTTTTTAGTGTTTGGGAAAGGGACTGAATGTATATTGTTACCATTTTTGACAAGTGGGCATAAGAAAGAAAACAATATGGTTTGGTGAAAAAAGGTTCTACTTTTTAGATATTCTGAATTGCTTCTGTGTTTCTTCTTCATTGTGGAATATATTATCCTGGGTACATGACTACACACAATAGATAATAATTAGTATGTAAAGTTTGGAATCAACAGCAGCAGTGAGTTATAATTTAAAAACCGGAAGAGGTTTTCTGCATATAACATCATCTATTCTGCAAATAAAGATAGTTTTACTTCTTCTCCAGTAGTGATGCTTTTTATTTCTTTTTCTTGACTAATTGCCTTGATTGGAACCTCTATTACCATTTTAATACAAGTAGTGACAGCAGACATCCTTGTTTTGTTCCTGATCTTAGGGGGGAAAATTACTCAATATTTCACCATTCAGCATGATGTTTGCTGTGGGTTTTCTTAGATGCCTTTATCAGGCTGAGGAAGCTTCCCTTCAATTCCTAGTTTGTTGTTATTTTTGCTGTTCTGTGTTTATCATGAAAGGAGTTGGATTTTGTCACATGATCTTTTTCTGTCTTTTGAAATCATCATGTGGTTTTTATCTTTTATTCTATTAATATGATGTTTTATATTGATTGCTTTTCTTAGGTTAAACTAACCTTGCATTTCTGGGATAAAACAAACTTGATCGTGATATATAATCTTTTATATTTTGCTGGATTCAACCTTCTACTATTTTGTTGAAAAAGTTTGTGTCTATATTCATAAAGGATATTGACCTATAGTTTACTTTTCTTGTGATGTGTTTGTCTGGTTTTAGCATCAGAATAGTACTGGCCTCATAGAATGAGTTGGGAAGTGTTCCCTCCTCTTCTATTTTTGGGAACAATTTGTGAATTATTTGTATTATTTCTACTTTGAACTTTTGGTAGAATTCTCCAGTAAAGCCACCTGGGGCTGGACTTTTCTTTACAGAAAGATTTTGATTTCCAATCCAATCTCTACATATTTTAGGTCTATTCAGATTTTTTATTTCTTCTTGAATCAGTATTGGTAGTTTCTGTGTTTCTAGGAATTTGTTCATTTAATCTATGTTATCTAATTTATAGGCATACAATAGTCCCTAACTTATAATTTCTATAAAGTCAATAGTAATGTTTCCTCTTTCACTCCGTATTTTAGTAATTTGCCTCCTCTCTTTTTTCCCCCTTAGAATGTCTAGCTAAAGGTTTGTCAATTTTGTTGATATTTTCAAATAACTTTTATTTCTCTGATGTTCTTTATTGTTTTTTTCTTCTTTGTTTCATTAATCCTGCTGTAATATTTATATTCCCTGACTCATGTTTTTTTTCTTTCTTGCTAGGACACAAGTGGAATCATGAAATGGTGCGTACAGGTGACCAGGAGTGGTGCATTTGTGTTATGAAGGAAGGTTTGTAGTCATGAGAGTTATTTGGTTGTCAACCAGGATGAAAAATCTCCCAAAGCAAGAAAAGTTAGATGTAGTATTATTTTAAATTGCTGATCATAGATGAGGATCTAAGTGTCTTATATTTATTGAGAATGAGCCAGATTCTGTGGTAGTAGATTCAATGGTTGAAATTTACGGAGTTAGAGCCAGTAAGGATAATAAGGATAAGGGACTTCACTATCAGACTCTTATTACTTCATTCATTTAATTCACTCTCTGTCCTTGCTCTGGTTCCTGTATTTCCTAGATGATACTTGTCTTCATCATATGGAGGGCCTCATTGAGCTCTAAAATAGGTTATGGGACAACACCTTTATACTTACTTTGCTTAAACAAGAATGGAGGAGACCAGGCCATTCTATAAGGTTCTCCTCAGATTTGCAAAAGCAGATCTGAGCCTTGTGGTTTGGGGCTTTGACGCTTGTGCCAATAATTTGTGTCTCCTGTTCACACACTTTAGAAGCTTATATAGGAAAGTGTAGCCTTTGTATCTAAAGTTGCCAATCCATCTGGCAGCTGCAAATTCTTCACAAACACATGGAAGTCTAACCATTTTTTGTTCAGTAGACAACTTTTTCTTTGTCAAGTATTTTTAACTTTTCCCAGAACACCTGAAATCTTAAATGTTATATATGGACCACATCACTGGAGTTGAGGCTTTGGACTAGGGTACAGGCTCAAAAGCTTTCCAAAAAGAGACCCAAATCACAGCCAAGATCTGCAACCTTACCACTGATCTACCTGGAACCCACTTCTGTGGCCCCTTTTTTGGGGACCCTCTGTGATGTGGAAAGGTCCATATATTACATACCTTTTTTAGAGGTAGCAAAGGCTTTTCTTATACATTATTTCATCTAATTCATTATTTCCACAAGGTATCAAAGGAAGGGCTAATTATTCTATTTTTAGAAGAAGAAACTGTTACTCTGAGGTGAAAACCTTCCCAAGATCACACAGAGGGTAACTGGGAAGGTAGGCATGAGCACATTTTTTCTGGCTCCAGTAGCAGTGCACTTCCTTCTCCCCTCCTCAAGCTTCTCAGAGAAGGTTCAAGTGCATTAATGGCATGGATGTAGAGGAAGACAGTGGTATTGGAAGAACACAAGGTAAGAGATGTAGGGTCAACATTTTTTTGTCATCCTTAGGAGTGAGGTGTGGACATTGAAGAAGCCAAAAATTATTTCCAAAAAACTGAAGCGTGGATTCCATGCTCCAGATCTGAGTGGAATGCTGCATGTGTTTAAAGGTGAGGAGAGCCAGAGCAGCTGTGTGGATGGGGGATCTTTGTGGTGTCAGGGACTAAACTGGGGATCTGGTATAGCTTCAATGTGAGGATAGAAAGGAGGGTGTTCAGAGAAGAAAGGACATTGCGGACGGAGATGTGGTTAAGGGAGAATGGCTAGGTTCTGTTTCATCCTTTCATTCACTGGTTCATAGCCAACAGTAGTCTTCTCCCCTTCCCCTGCTCTAGAGACAAGATAGCTATCAGCGTTTTAATCATTTGCTTCTAATCAACATTATTGAATCTTTTATCATTTCAGAGCTAACGCATGTCCAGTGCTACTGGGGTAAGAAGTTACTGGGTCTTCAAGTCACTGTGTTCTGATCCCCTTTCAGAAGTTTGTGGTTTCAGTGAGATCTGATGATCTCAGTCCCATGTGTTTTCCTCACCTCCTGATACTTACATATAATACATTTCTCCATAGCTTTGGCCTACTTCCCCGATTGTCAATACAAGTTCTTCCTTGTCCCTTTCCAAGTTCCCTCTCCATGTCACCAGATAAACCAAACCTGTATCTGTCACCTAATCTTCACTTTTCTTTTTCTCTGCAGTGGACATCACATTGAATCCATTCAACCTAAATTTGAATCTCACCCTTTCAAAGGATCAGAGACAGTTGGCATCTGTGCCAATTTGGCCTATAAAGTATTATAATTATGGTGTCTTGGGCTCCCAATATTTCTCATCAGGGAAACACTACTGGGAAATAGATGTGACCAAGAAGACTGCATGGATCCTGGGGGTATATTGTAGAAAACGTTCCTGTAATATAAAGTTTGGTGTTAGACGAGGTACAGGTTGTCAAAAGGTTTACTCCAGATTCAAACCTGAAAATGGCTACTGGGTTGTAGGGCTGCACAATGAATCCGAGTACAGTGCCTTCGAGGACTCTTCCACCTCTGATCCCAAGGTCTTGACACTTTCCATGGCTGCTCCTCCCCGTCGGGTTGGGGTTTTCCTAGACTATGAAGCAGGCACTGTCTCATTTTTTAATGTCACAAACCATGGGTCACTCATCTATAAATTCTCTAAATGTTGCTTTTCTCACGCTGTTTATCCCTATTTCAATCCTTGGAACTGTCCCGTTCCCATGACTCTGTGCCCACCAAGCTCCTGAACCTTCTCCTTCCCCCACCCACTTCTGTGTAGCAACCGTTGTGCTGGGGCTCATCTCATGCACCTGAGCTGATCTCTACACTCAGACCATCTCTTCTTTGTTGTCTCCCTTCTTTAGAACTTTTAGTCATTCTTGAGATTGACAACTGTTTCTGTTTTAAGTCAGAAGAGAATCTCGTTTACCCAGCAACCCTTTTCTGTATTCTCAGTGAAAGATATCTAATCGCTCTTAAAGACAGAGCAATGTTGGTACCACATTGATTTTAGGAGACATGGCAAAGCCTGTCTGTGAGCATCCATGATGGTAGGACAGTCCATAATAACCTCACCCACCACCACCCACTAAAGAGTATTTGAGTGTATGTCTGTTTATTGCCCAGCAGATAGAAGTGTCATAAGGGAGTTGAGGAAAAAAACAAAAGTAATATATGTACCCAGAGTGAAAATTTTTATGTTCAGAGTGTTTGAGTTTAAATCCTGTCTCTTCTCTTACAAGGTGTGTAACAATGGATACATTTTTGTTTCTTCTCATAAAATAAAAATTGGATTTTAAACAGCACCTAACTTTTAAGATAGTCGTGTGAAACTGTCACTCAATGTAAAGCACCTATTTAAGGGTCCCACACAATATAATAAATATTTGCTCTCAAGATCACTTAAAAGTATCAGCTGTGTCAGTGTCCTGTGCAATGGATCTGTGCCCTTTAGAGGAATAGAAAATGATTCTACTGAAGTTTCATTTGTCAAGTTTCCAGACTCTGCTGTCAAGACCACTCCAATCCCAGTTTTGTATTATTGAACTTTTTACACCAAGGCTGGGACTGTTTCAAGGCCCTTTATCAGGAACAATATAAGTTTCTAAGAACTGTCCAACAAAGGGAGCCATGCAGAGGGACAGCTATTCTTGTTGCCTTTTGATGTTCAGGGCTTTTATTTGTGGTGAAACATCGGAGTATAACACTCTACATGTCATCCCGTGCATTTTTTTTCCCCTTACATTTAAAATCAGTTTCAAATTTTGATGAGGATTAGATTTATTCAAAATAGTAAAGAAACTTTTCTGGGAAAAGCATGCATTATAAATTAAGGCTGCAACCGCACAGAGCCCACATGAAGATACAGAGGGGTTAATAAGTTGCCCCAGTGGAATGAAAAGGAGAGTTCTAGGCCTGGGAAAGGTATGTACAAGCACACTTATACTTACACACACACACTGGTATGTATATATATAATTATATGTATAAATATATAAAGAGAATGTACATCTTTACCCAAGTTAATTTTCAAAAGTATCATTAAAGAAAGAACTCTTATCAAGGAATTAAAGGAATTTATAAGGTATGTTCCAATGTAACATAGCTAATGAGTGGAGGAAGTAGAATTAGAACTGGGTCTCTGTTTCTCCACCGTAGGTGCCCTTTCTGCAGTTCACTTCCCAAGAAAAGGTAGGTGCCAAATCCCCTAGGATGTGGGGTAGAAGGAAAAGCCCAGGAGGTGCTGATTTACATAAGGAGCCTAGAGTATCATGGGAAAATCATAGGTGCCAGGAGACAGTGATTGATGTGCTCAATCCATGTAACCATTAATGAAGCAAGAGCTGCTCATGGTAATGGTTAAAACCAAGCTCAATACTTAGTGACCAGGGTGCTCTTGCAGGTGACATGTAGAGAGTGAACACTGGACAGTTAAGAGCCTTGACTTTGAAATCAGAATTTCATAATCATACTGATATTACTACTTACTGGTATATAATATAATATAATTAATATAATATAATATAATATAATTAATATAATAATATAATAAATATAATAAGTATAATATAATATATTATTATATTATATTTATTATTATTATATTATATTGGATCCAGTTTCTCATTGGAACTGAAAATAAAAGAGCATGATGAGAATGTGGGAATTGAAAAATTGAACGTTTGCACTGACTTTCTCATTTCCTAACACATAAGCAGTGGTCCAGATTGGTGTCAATTCATTTTCTCTGTGATTTGAAATAGTGAATGTTAGGAATGAATATTAATCTACTTCAAATATTAGTACTTTTGTTGTGCTTTGAAACAGAATATCTTGATTAAGGAAACACATCCTTTTTAATCTCATCTTTTTGCATAATATCCTGTTTTTTAAGTTTTCAAATATATTTTGTCTTATGATAGTTTTCTAGTATAAAATTTTAGGTTGTAATTTACTTTATCTAAACATTTTCTTTGAATTTTCTATTTATCAGTCTGCTCTCAATCACATTGTCTTTTTTTATTGTGGTAAAACACTTCATATGAGATCTAACCAATTAAAATTTTAAGGTGTTACAGTTCAACAAGTTTAAACTTTCAGTTTTGCAAGATGAATAAGTCCTAGAGATCTACTGTATAACACTCTGCCTATTGTTAACTGTACTGTACTGTGCATTTAGTAATTACTTTTTATTATAAAGAAAGTTTTTTCTTTTTCGTAGCTACCTACTCTTTTATTTGAAGTACTGAAATAGCTTCTTTAATCTAAGTGAATGTACTAGATAAAAGTGACTTGACATTCTATTCTATTTCCATAGTAATTCTCTTTCATTAGAAACCCTTTCCTCTGATGCCCAGGTAGATCTCCATCTTTCAGGTGTTGGTTCACATTGTGACTTACAGCGATAGAGGCAGGGCCAGGAGTTCTGCATGGGCTCCGTCAGCAATGGCGTATGTCGGTCAGTGTTCCCCTTTCCTGGTCAGCCTCGCTCTTGCCAGGGAGCTGAAAGGCTGCAGTTGTCCTCAGGAGTGAGGAAAGCCTCTCCTCTAGTGAGATAGTAGGGCAAATGCTACAGGAGTGAGTGTCTTGCAGCACGTGTCTTTGGTATTTTCATTTCCCACTATTCCCAACCTACTTATTAGCCAAGAGAAACAGGAACACTAGGCTACTTGGCCAGGGTCTGCTCTGGTCCCTGTCTCACAAGAAAGTCTTCAGTGCTCCATTTCTGGAAGACCTGTGGTGGGAGAGGGATTCCAAGATAGATACATCCAGTCTCTCCCTCTCTCTCTCTGATTCTCTCTCCCCCTCCCTCCCACTACACACACTTACACACACTCACACACACACACACACACACACACACACACACCTCTCTCATAGGCCAACTGTGGGAAACTGATTCTTATCCACACTCCCTTTGATCTCTGTTTTCCTGTCACCCTGTTGCTGAAATGACTGAAGCCATAACTCATTAAGAAAGACTTGTTCTCTGTGGAATTATTCAACAGGTATCTCTCCAAGGATATTCCTGGGTTTTTGTCCCCTGAAATGTCCAGGCTTCCAGTTCATGTTGTGAAACAAGTTACAGAAAACAAGTACCTGAGTTAGCAAACACAAAGGAAAAGTCCTTCACACTGAGACATCTTTAAAAAACAAAAACAAAAAAAAACAACAAGAAAAACCAGCAATCATGGCCCAACTGAAACCCTCTCCTCAGAGTATGAAGCCTGTAAGTAGCTTTCATTTACATTGCTGCTTCTCAGCAAATGTCCTGAGATGGGATTCTGAACTCCAAATAAATGTTTGTTGGGCATCAAGTGGATTTTCTCATGATCCAAGGATTAGGTCTAGGGTTTTGCCCTCTCTCTCACCTCTGAGTGGCAACTACTTGTATGTCTGAGCCTTTAGGATACTGTTGGGTCATTAATTTGGGAGACAGGTGTCCACAATACAAGTTTAAGGGGTGGAGGTTCAGTAGAATTTCAGGGAATAAGCGGGCTTTATTCTGCAGGTTCATCCATGGAAATTGAGCAGGGAGTGGTATCTAGAGCTATCAAAAATTGTAGACAAGAAGTTTCTAAATATTGGGAACCTGATATCCCTATTGGCATGGAGATATATGATCTATACTTAATTATATCAAATTCTATAGCCTATTTTGCCCAAGATTTGTGATGGGGAATCTATTGATCCTGACTCCTAATTTTCTATATTGTCCAGTCATAAGTCAGTGTTTTGTTTTTTGTTTCTTTTAATCCTCACCTGAGGGTATTTTTTCTATTGCTTTTTAGAGAGAGTGGAAGGAAGGGAAGGAGGGGGGAGAGAGAGAGAAACATTGATGTGAGAGAGACACGTTGACTGGTTGCCTCCCACCTGCACCCTGATTGGGTGCAGGGAATGAACCTGCAACCCAGGTATGTGCTGTTGACTAGGAATTGAACCCATGACAATTTGGTGTGTGGTCTGACGCTCCAACCACTAAGCCACACCAGCCAGGGCAGTTTTTTGTCTCAAGCATACAGCAACTATACCATGCCTCCTGATACGGAACCCAGGTTCAGCTGCATGCACTTGAAATTAAATAATCAAGAGGCAAGAGCTTGTGGAAGGAAAGCAGGTTTATTCAAGAGCCAGCAGCGTGAGAAGATGGTGGACTCACATTGCAAAGACCATCTTAACATCTCAATGCAGGCAGAGGTTTTTATAAGAGGGAGAGGGAAAGCAGAACAAAGAGATCAAGGGGAGGGGTTTGAAAAGTTTTCTAAGTGCACACCAGCTCAGTCCATTCCAATAAGGATCTTGAAAATGTTCAAGCAATGGTCTCATGTGTGTCATTCTAGGTTTGTTTTATTATTTTATGGTTGAATGTTAGCAAATCTTCTGGAGCTGGAACATCTGGTGGTTGGAGTCAGTGTTATTTGAGTCAGGTCCTAAAATTCTTACACAAAAGGCTATTTATCTACAAGGTACATATTAGTCAGAGTCAGCATTTATAGAAACCATGCCAAACGAATGGTGAGGTGGGTTACAACTCCCCACTGTCAATTTTTCTTCCATTTCCATAGAAGTTTCTCTTTTTCATTTTTTTCCTGGCTTATCTCTAGGAGAACCTTGGGGTATTAATTTAGCATGAAATGCCTGGACTTGGGAAATAAATTTTTTTAGTTTTTCTATTTGGAAGAGAAGCTTCAAGGTGCATTTGCTTTACAATTGCTGAAGTCTGTTTGCACATCCTTCTTAAACATAATGATTGTCTTGAATGTCTACAGAAGATTAATATTAGAAATAAGATAGTTAGGCCTTCACCCCATCACTGTCCATGTCCATGGTTTATGCATCTATGCATATAAGTTCTTCAGTTAATCTCTACCTACACTGCTCCCCCCACCCCCTTCCCTCTGAGATTCATCAGTCTGTTCCGTGCTTCCATATCTCTGGATCTCCTCTGTTCGACAGTTTATTTTGTTCATTATATTCCACATATAAATAAGATCATGTGATTCTTGTCTTTCTTTGACTGGCTTATTTTGCTTAGCATAATACTCTCCAGGTCCCTCCATGCTGTATCAAAGGGTAATAGATCCTTCCTTTTTACAGCTGCATCATATTCCATTGTGTAAATGTACCACATCTTTTTTATCCACTCATCTACCAATGGGCACTTGGGCTATTTCCAAATCTTAGCTATTTTAAATAGTGCAGCTATGAAAATAGAGGTGCATGTATTTCTCTTCAATAAATGGTGTTGGGAAAATTAGACAGGTACATGTAAAAAAATGAAACTAGACCACCAACTTACAACATACACAAGAATAAACTAAAAATAGATAAAAGACTTAAATGTAAGTCATGAAACCATAAAAATCGCAGAAGAAACCATAGGCAGCAAAATCTTGACATCTCTTGTAGCAATATGTTTGCTGATGCATCTCCTAGGGTAAGGGAAACAAAGAAAAAAAATAAGCAAATGGGACTACATCAAAATAAAAAAATTCTGCACAGCAAAAGAAACCATCAACAAAATAAAAAGGGATCCCACTGAATAGGAGAATATATTTGCCAATGATACATTTGATAAGGGGTTAATTTACAAAATATATAAATAACTCATACAACTTAACAAATGGAAGACAAACAATGCAACTGAAAAATGGGCCAAGGACCTAAATAGACACTTCTCCTAAGAGGACATACAGATAGCCAAGAGACATATGGAAAAATGCTTAAAGTCACTAATCATTTAAGAGATGCAAAAAAAAAAAAAGACAGTGGCTACCATCAACAAATCAACAAAGACAAGTGCTAGCCAGGATGTGGAGAAGAAGGAGCCCTAGTACACTACTGGAGGGAATGCAGACTGGTGCAGCCACTATGGAAAACAGTGTGGAGTTTCCTCCAAAAATTAAAAATGGATCTGCCATTTGACCCAGTGATTCCACTTCTAGGAATATATCCTAAGAATTGCGGAACACCAATCTATTAATCTACTTTTAATTTCAGTCAGTTTTCCTTTGTGATTCTTTTTTTCTCATAGCAGGAATTGGCTCAGGTGATTATGGTGGTGGAATAATTCCAGGCCCTGCCGTCCACTAGCTGGAGACCCAGGAAAACTGGTGGTGTAACTTCCTTCAGGTCCAACAGCTTTAGAACCAGGGTAGTCAATGGTATACGTTCTAGTCCAAAGGCAAGAGAAAACCCATATCCCAGCTCAAGCAGGCAGGCAGGAAGCAAAAGGACTGCATTCCTTCTTTCTTCCTCTGCCTCTTTGCTCTGCTCAGGCCCTCAGTCTATTTTACTGAGCCCACAGATCTAAAGGCTAGTCTCATCTGGAAACAACACCTTCACAGACACCCAGAAATAATGTTTAAACAACCTAAGGCCAGTCTCATGACTCCCAAATTTATCCTTCATGATCATTTTCATGTTTCATTTTTATTAAGTTAGGACTATAAAATTTATATGTTAAATAGTATTAGATGACATAGCCCAACCAATGACAATTCATGTCCTTTGATCTGTGTAGTCCATTGAGGAAAAGGGTCATCTTCTCCTGATTGAATCCAGGTTCTGCAAACCAGCATCACAGTGCTACCGCACTGTGGTAGCCCCTCTGGCTGACCACCTGAGGAAATTTCAGGTTTGGGCAGCCATTCCCTCTCACATGACTAACAGGACACAAATTAGACAGATTCATTTAGCTTAACTGGTAGGTACAGGAGAGGGGAGAGCTGCCAGTATCACTGCCTCAGGTGAGCCTTCAGTGTGGTTCCTCACTGTGGTAAAGGAGGTATTTTATTTCCCCCTCATGACACCTCATTTGTAAGGGGGCAAAATGAGGTTGATGTGTGTGAAATTGCACAGCTCAGGTAAGCCTAGTTCTCCAAAGGATGAGTTACTTTGAGAGCCATGAGAACAACTTCAGGGAGCAGAACTGAAATAGGGTTAAGAATGTAGTCTGGCACTTCTGACTCATGCACAAAGCCTTTAAATTTCCCTGGGGCCCTTGAGAAGGCCTCCCATTGGCCCATAGATTTTTCTCCTTTCCTGCCCTTCCCTTAAGAATTTCACTTTCATTTTCACTCTGCCCTCCGGGATCCTCTTTGAGTATGTCAGGCTCCTGGTTTGGAGAGTGAATCCTGACCACGTCTGTCCCCCAGGCTGGAACACCAGAACAAGTGAAAAGGCCTTTTCCCTGGAAGCTTGGAGGTGAGTTTCCCTCTCCTCTCTGAGCAGTGCCTGGGCAGTGCTAGCCCGCCAAGAACTGTGTCTTCCATTGTTTCAGACCTTGGGGCTGGGAAACGCAGCCCCTCCCACCCCAGCCACCAGAGCAGGGGCTCAAGGGGAATTCCCTGTGAGGGCTGCCATGGTCCTATGGCTTGGTTGGGACCTTGGTGGCAGAAGCAGCTTCAGTAGAGTCAAGAAGGTGGGGCAGGGGTGATGTTCCTGAGAGGGGACTAGGGCCAGGGCCCTCCCCTGTCAGTTACCCAGCCATAGCACAGGAATGGAGCAGGAGTACCTAGGAGTGCTGACAAGTTAGAGGGACTTGCAGCCCTGCTCTGGCCATGCAGGGGGTGGAGCACCAAAACAACACCCCCACACACACACCCCAACCCCGGTCTGGAGTCACTGACTCAAGTGAAAGTCCAACAGGCTTCCACACCCATTGCAGGAGATGGGTCTCCTTCACCAGTATTTCTTACATTGACATTCTTGAACTTATGCTTTTGCACTGGCTCTTGGGGCAACTCCTGTAGTCCTTTAAGTCCTGAGCAGGAGCCCTTAAGAGAGGAATCTCCTGTGCTCTACACCCGTAGGGTTCTTCTGGGCATAAGCCTATTGGTTTTTGAAGGCAGACATTTTGTGGGCTCAGCTCTCTGGGGCAGGTCCTCAGGGTTAGGGAGCCTGATGTGGGGCACAGACCTCTAGGTCCTCAAGGACAGGCTTGGCATTTCTGATATCCCTCCAGCACAGATACCACTCATGTTCCCATATCTATCTCCCTGCCTGCTGTGCAGTCCTGGGTCACCGCTTAAGTAGTGCTGGCGTCATCCTCCACGTGTGAGTGCTCAAGCTCCTCTGAACTTCCCTCTTCTGTGTCCTGTGGCAGCAACTGCTTTGACTTTAGCTCCTTGTAGCCCCACCTTAAAAATAAATTCTGCACCCCAAGGCAGAATGCATGCTCTGCTCCTCACTTCTCCATAGGCTCCTGGTGGGTCTCAGGACTGATTGGATCTTGGATGAATTCAGAAAGAATCGGAGGCTCTTAACTCATGCTTGGATCATGCTAGAGTCATAAAATAGGAGTAGATATCAAATGATACTATCCCAACACAGCATCTACCTCTGATGTTGCTGTTCATCAGAGCGTGATCTGGACCACAGTCTCTGCAGCCAGGGGCTAACTGCATAAGGCCTCTGGGCTGTTTTCACTATCTGGACCATCAGCTGGAATGCACTTCCATTCTCCTTCGGTCTCATTCCTTATCAGGTTCCCTTCATGTATGATGAACAAGGCACCACTGGACAGTGTTAGTGGGTCTAAATTCATCTCCATGCAGCCTTTATAACTTTTCCCTCCTGAACACAGAGCAAAGGGAAAACTTATCTCATGCTGGAGATCTTTCTTTACCATCAAAGTTTGGCAACCATCAAGACATGAATATCTATTGCGATCTTTTCTTTCTTTGTTTATTGCTTCATAGTCCCATTTACTTGGAGTTCCTGAGAGAACTCCTGAGCTTAGTTGTGGCCACAGGGCTATATTGAGTCCAGGTGGGAGAATGAGCTTCACTGTGTCACCACTGTGAGACCCTCTCTGACTGACCACCAGCACCATTTCCGATGTGGATGGTGATTACCATCGATGTGACCTGATAGATATGAACTTCCAGGGTCACTTACCCTATCTGAGTTTACAGGACAAGACAGAGCATGCCGACATGGGTGCCTTAGGTGAGCTCTTAGTGGTAGTCTTCACAGTGCTATAGAAGGTACTTTACTCCTGTTATCTCAGCCTTTTAAGAAGCCAGACTTAGTGGTTGTATGTGAAATCACCATTGGTTTTGTAAACCTCAAGCTACAAAGTGCTAATTACCTTGTGAAAGCCCATAAGGGCAGCATCCAAGGGCCTACAGGAGACATAGGTGAATATGAAAGTCACAGTCTCAGATGAAAAGTAAAATCTAAGCTTTTTAACTGGTATATGATGTTTATATGAGTCCTCCTAAATCTAAATGCACTTTTCTCATCAGGCTAATTTTTCTATCAACAATGTGGCCTTGAAGGCAGCTGAGCTTCTCCTTTATTGTAGCCTCATGAGTTTTCCAGGAAAATACGAAATAGAAACCCAGTTTATGAGAAGAGTTAGCCAATATTACCTTTACAGGAAGAAAGAGCCCAGGGCTGATATTGACAGTTTCTTCTCAGATATTTAACTGCCAATCTTTTCTCTTACCTCACCCTATGTCTTGCCTGCTCTCCATGTCCTTCACCTCCTTGCCCTGAAAGCTGTCATCATCTCTCCCCTGGGCAACTTTGCATTCATTCTACTCATCTTCCCAATTCCACACTGGATCCATCCAACATACCACGAACCAAGGACAAAGCTAATTATATCCCCCCCTGTTCTCTGAGTNACAAAGCTAATTGTATCCCCCCCTGTTCTCTGAGTGGAAAACTTGGATAATTTCTTTTGCTCCTGGAAAAGAGTCCCTAAATGATGCATAACTGGGAAAGTGCCATATGTCATGGTCACTTCAGGCTCATGTGATACCAAAGGCCTCCCAGTTTTCTCACACCTGCCACACTGCCATTTTCAATCTCAGACAAGGTGGTACATCTTCCATGAACAGGTCATTTCCTTTACCTAATAAATCTTTTCTCTCCTGTATGCCTTCTGTCCTTCATTTTCTTCACTTTTCAGTTCAACCCTTATATTTTCAAGTTTGAATTGCTGGACAACCATTTATTTGCCCCCATTACTTGAATTCCCCAACAACATGCACACTTCTCTAATAGTGTTTTTCATACCAGCTTGAGGCTGGTGATTTAATTTACTGCTACTTCCCAGGTGAAGGACAGGGCCATAGTGGTTTAAACTCTGTTTAGAGTCATCTTTGTGTTTATGGGTATTAGTTTAATTGATAGCATGTAATTCATAGTCATTAAAAATAGTGAATGATCTTTCATAATAGTTGAGATTTATATCCATTTTATCTCTATTCCTATTTTTTCAGATATGCAACTTGTGCGATCCTATGAGTATATTTATGGTATCTTCCATCCCACCATCCACATACATACACACATTTAGTCTTCTATCAGTGTCTTTGGAATATTTCTAGGCCAAAGTGAAATTTTACCATTTATCAACACAAGATTCCCCAGAATCACCTAAGTTACCTGTTTCATCTTTGATTAACTCTGTAAGGTAGGATTAGACCTCTGAAGGGGTGCCCTGAATATATTAGGTTCATCACAACTCTGTATTGAAAAGAAATGATCTTTGTAAGTGACTCACTAACTTTATGTACGCATCTGGTAAAGGGTTTGCTCTAGCCATTTACACAAACACATTGTCACATATTATGTTATAATAATAAGAGAAATCGTTTCAAACATACAGCAAACAATGTCAATGGTTACATTGTAAACAAGCAAATCAGAGCAGATCTTTCTGATAAGTGAACATGTAAGGAGAGAGTCAACTGAAGGATGAGAGTGAGTCCTACCGATATCAGGGCCAGCATTGCCTGCTGACAGAAGAGCAGGTATAAAAGCCCAGACCCATAAGTGGTTTGATACTTTTATACTGAGGATGTGTTTGGCATAGGAAAGAAGTGGGAGAGATATTGGGTCACACAAGAATCTTGGTATAAAAGGCCGCAGGTCATCCTTCTGTTCAGTAAGAGTAAAAAACAATAACAAACACTGCACAGATAAAAGTAAAATCTGTCATGTCAGATAAACTAAAAGCATTTAAAATTGTTATGAGAAGTCCTTTTTACCAAGCTCCTTTTTTGTTTTTCTACCTTTTTTGTTTTTGTTTTTGTCCTTCAATATTTGTTTCTGGCCCCTCCTTGATTTCTACACAGTTAGTATTATTTTATTCCTACCTTTCTTACTCTGCCCTCTTTTAACCTTTCCCATCAGTCAGGAATCTGTGACCAAGAGGAGCCTCAGAAACGAACAGATAGGAGCAGAGGAGCAGCTGCAATGGCTTCAGAAATCTTGGAGGAAATAAAGGAAGAGGTGACCTGTCCCATCTGCCTGGAGCTCCTGACAGAACCACTGAGCCTGGGCTGTGGGCACAGCTTCTGCCAAGCCTGCATCACCACCAACAGCAGGCAGTCCATGATCCGCCAAGAAGGAGAGAGCAGCTGCCCTGTGTGCCGAATCACTTACCAGCCTGAGAAACTGCAGCCTAGTTGGAAATTGTCTAACATAGTCGAGACACTTCAAAGAGTCAAGCTGAGCACAGAGGAGGAGCGAAAGAGAGATCTCTGTGTGCACCATGGAGAGAAACTCCATTTCTTCTGTGAAGAGCATGGGAAGTTGATTTGCTTCGTTTGTGAGCGGTCTCAAGAGCACCGAGGTCACAAAGTACTCATCAAGGAGGAAGCTGCCCAGCATTACAAGGTAACAGACCAGGATGGAGGAAACACAGGGCAGAAAATTATTCTTGATGGGAAATCTTAACTTTGCATGTGACTCTAATTACCTTTCCACCATAGGCTGAGGCCTGTGATCACATTTCTTCCTATGCTCACCTTCCAAGGCCTGCAGGACATTTTTGTGCATTCCACATAAATGATAAGCAGACTCTAAACCAGAAGTAGATATTTTTATACCTGGTGCTAATAGGTAGAGGTTTGGTGCCCAAGCCAATCAATCTGTCATTACTCCTTTGAACAGGAGGTGGCTTGGACAGCTGGGTGGCTTGAGACCTAAGTTCTTTCCTTAGTAAAGGATCAGGTTTCTTGACATGGGAATGGTGAATTCTATCACCTGAGACTTAAAGAACACATTCGCCACATCAGATTTCTTTTAAGTCTTATATATATATATATATATATATATATATATATATACACACACACATATACATATATATATATATACATATATATATACATATATATGTGTATATATATTAATTTCAGAGAGAGGAAAGGAGAGGGAGAGAGAGTTAGAAACATCAATGATGAGAAAGTAATTGATCGGCTGCCTCTTGCACATCTCCCACTGGGGATGGAGCCCGCAACCCAGGCATGTGCCCTGACCAGGAATCGAACTGAGATCTCCTGGATCTTATGTCGATGCTCAACCACTGAGCCACGCCAGCTGAACTCAAGTCATACATTCTAATTGTTGTTTCACAGTTCCTGTAAACTCTGGTCTCTTCAGAGATCAGCCTGAGTTCTTCTCTTTTGATGCCAAGAAAGCCCATTTTTTACCCTGGTGTGATTCCTCTCTCACAGGAGAAGCTCCAGGCGGACCTGGACAGGCTGAGGGGGGAGCAGAAGAAAGCCAAGAAGTGGGGATCTGACATCAGAAAAGAGAGTAATTTCCGACAGGTAGGAGGAAACTCTTCCTGAGGGAATTAGACAAAAACCTGGACAGGACCTTGGGTTTTAGCCCCCTTCCTCCTTGTTTCCTGAGGGTCTGTGTGTCCTGAGTCATTAATTAACCATTCTGTATTCTTTCCCAGATAGGGGTGGTGCTGAAAATGAACCTCTCACAAATTAACACAGATATTTGTAGGTTAGTTATTCTCATAGAGAGACTCTCTGGTGAGGGTGGGTAGTGAATTCTGTGTTCATTTCTGTCATTATTTTGAGCATTTAACTCTTCCAGGGGAAGACAATAGCAGTGGCTCATGGCTCTGTCCCTGGTGTTCAACATTAGGCAGAGGGTGGGAGTGGGGTCAGGAGTAATGCAGGGAGGTATGACTGCCCTGGGCAGCTATGTGAGCTACTCCAGCACCCAGGTGTCCAGTTTGGGTTCAGGGTTGGCCTCAATGATGCAGATTGGAGGCCATTATTTAGGAATGTGATGAAGAGGAAAAATCAGCCTCCCCAAGAATTGCTCCTCTGTTTCCATCCCCTTTCTTGTGAGAACTTCCAAATCAAGTACTTCTTTTTGTTGCTCCCAGTCTCTATCTGATAACCTGAGTCCCTCTCTCTCTTTTCCTTTCCTGAAGAATCAAGTACAAAAAGAGAGAAAACGTGTCCAGGATTATTTTGAACATCTGAGAGGAATCCTGGACACTGAGGAGCAGAAGGAGCTGCAAAAGCTGGAGGAAGAGGAGAGAGATGATCTCAAGGACTTGGCTCAGGCTGAGAGTGAGCTGGTCCAGGAGGGCCAGCTGTTGACAGATCTCATCTCAGATCTGGAGCATCGCTTGCAGGGGTCCACAGCAGAGATGCTGCAGGTAATACTTGGGAATAAGGCCCAGCATCTGAACTTGAGAAAATGAAGGCTAAGTTTCCTCCTCTGCTGTGTGGCTGTGCTGTTTGTGGTGGTGACACTGAGTTTCCTTTCGTCTTGCAGTAACCCTTCCCTGCATCTGTTTCAGAGTTTATAGGAATAATTCAATGCACAATAAAGAAGGGAAAATTTGATTTCTATTTATGTATCAATTGTAGTGCAAAAATTTGGCTGTGGAAGGAAGATCCTTTGTGTCCAATTATATTCTGTAGGCCCCTATATCTGTGATCTAGCCTAGAACATATTTCAGATATCTGTTCATGTTCTAAGAGTTTTTGTTTTGCTTTGTTTATTCTTCATAGAGTTGAGATTTTTCTCCTTTTCTTGTATTTTCTGAATAAACAATTGTGAAGGATCGGTATTATTTATTCTTTAATTATTCAATAGATTCACTAGTGAAGCCATCTCATTCTGGGCCTTGCTTTTTGGAAAGGTTTAAAATATTTTGTTTTTATTTGTATTAGGTTTTCTTAGCATTTTTTCATTTCTGGAGTCAGGTTTTAATAACATACATTTTTGCTGAAATTTGTCCATTTTAAGTTCTCAGATTTGTAAACATGAAGTTAATCATTATAATATTTTAGAATCTCTTTCAGTTCTGCACTACTCATAGTAATGTCACCTCTTTTATTCCTGATTTTGGTGATTTGCTTTTTTTGTACAATTATTTATGTTTGGCTACTTTTATTGATATTTTTCAAGAATAAACTTTATTGTTTTATTGATTTCTTTATTTTTAACCTTTCTATATCACATTTCTGCTCTCATTTATTTAGTTTTCTTTCTGTGTGTATGTGTAAATGCACATGCATGCATGAGTGTATGTATGTGTATATATGTGTCTGTGTGCATTGTGTTTAATTTGTTCTTTTTCTAGTTTCTTAAAGTGGGAATTTTGAACACTGATTTGACACAATTTTTTTTTTTGCTATACTTCTTATCAATACAAATGCATTGTTTTAGCTATATTCCATACTTTTGGATTACTTACTTGTTCTTTTGATTCAATTCAACTTATTTTCAAATTTTCTTTTTTATTTTTATCTTAACCTTTGAAATATTTGAAACTGTGTTTAATTTACAGACACTAGGTGATTTTTTTACTTTTTCTTCTGCTGTGTAGTTTCAATTTAATTCTTTTCTAATCAGAACACATGTTTTATTATTTCAATCTTTTAAATATATTGACACTTGCTTTATGGATTAAAATATAGTATGTCCAAAATTTTTATATGAATTTGGAAAGAATGTGTATTTTACTTTCATTGAGTGAAAGGGTCTATAGATGCCAGATAGGCCGAGCTGGTTGGTAATGTTGGCTATGTCTTCTACATTGTGATAATTTCTCATTTATATTTTTTATAATTTTTTCTTTTTCTTAAATCTCTTTAACATTTCTAGTAATAATGGTTTGGAGGTGATGAACTTCCAGCTTTTTCTTATCTGGGAAACTCTTTACATCTCCTTCAATTCTAAATAATAGCCTTGCTGGGTAGAGTAGTCTAGGTTGTACAGGTCCTTGGTTTTCATCACTTTGAATATTTCATGCCACTCCCTCCTGGCCTGCAAAGTTTTGGTTGAGAAATCAGTTGGTAGTCTATGAAAGCCCCCTTCTAGGTAACTAACTGTTTTTCTCTTGCTGCTTTTCAGATTCTCTCTTTGTATTTTTCATTTCTCACTGAGTTTTTTTTATGCTTTCTATCTCCTTTTCATGGTTTCTGTCTCTTTGTTGAAGTTCTCAGTGAGATCATCTATTCTTCCTCTAAGTTCATTGAGCATCCTTATAACCAGTGTTTAGAATTCTGCATCTGGTAGATTGCACACCTCCATTTTGTTTAGTCATTTTTCTGTAATTTTGTCTTGATCTTTCATTTGGGATATGTTTCTTTGTCTCCTCATTTTGGCTGTCTTCTTATATTTATGTATTCACGATATCTGCCACATCTCTCAGTCTCAGTAGAGTGGCCTTATGTAGTAGGTGTCTTTGGGGGCCCAGTGATGCAATTTTTGTGTTCATCTTAACCAGGTGCTCTAGGGGTGTCCACTGTTTGGGCTGTGTGTGCTCTCTTGTTGTAGTTGAGCCTTGATTGCTGTTGCCACATTGGTGGGCTGGATTGCCCCTCAGACTGAGTAGTGATTCTATTTCTTAATCTTTGCACGTGGGTGTGGTACCAGCCAGTTTTGACTCCAACCCTCCTACCAGGTCCAGGTACCTTATTCTTTATATCCTTACTTATAGGAGTTCTGTTCAACTTGTAACCATGTGGTTCTCAAGGGTGGTTATTCTATAATTTAGTTATAATTTTGATGTGGGAGGAGATGAGCACAACATTTACCTAGTCCATCATTTTGACCAAGAGGCTCTTTTTACTTTTTTTCATATTCGTGTCTTTGAATCCAAAATGTGTCCCTTGTAGATAGCAATAATTGAAATTGCTTTTTGTCTACTCCAACAATCTTTGCCTTTAATTGGTAGATTAAAAAATAACATTTAATGCAATTGTCAGTGTAGCTCTATTTAATTTAATTGTGTTATTAGTTTCTGTAAGTCACCTGCAATTTTCATTGTTCTCTTTCTCATTGACTGGCTTCTTTTGAGTTAAAGAGATATTTCTAGTATGAAATTTTATTTTACTGTTTTTTAATTTTGTGGTGGTTGCTCTTGTAATTAAAATATGCATCCTGTTTTATCATGATCTATTGAAGACTGATACTAAATTAATTCCGGTAAAATATGGATACTTGCCTCCAACATTGTTTTATGTTATTTCAGCAACAACACAGTGATACTTTTGATATGGGTACTTAATCCAATGTAAGCCAATGCCATGCAGGCCTTAGAATTATTTGATAAAACTGGAAAGACAACTTCTATTTTGGAGGGAGGATTTATATGGGGAGATTTATGTTTCCTTCGTGAACTGAGGATACAGTCAATATAGAGGGAAGAAGTAGAATTTGGAGAATGAAATAGACCTGTTCCTGATGACAATGTTTGAGCTTCAGAATTAAGCTTTGATTAAAGTTACAACTGTCCCCTAAATTTCTTTTCTCTTCTTCTACTTTTAATTGTTGTTGTTTTTTGTCATATACAACAAAAAGGCCCTAATACAGAGAGTAAAGTGGTGTGTGTGTGTGTGTGTGTGTGTGTGTCTAGACCCAGTGGCTGGCCTAGTTTTTGGTGTCATGGAAAAAGTTATTCTGAAATAAAGACCAAATCTATTTGTGCATATTTGTTCAAAGAAATAAACTTGTGATGATAAAGTTCAGAAGACTAAAAACAGTTAACGATATGAACTAAACTGTCTTGCTAGAAACTGAAATGCAGTAAATATCGTAGTGTTCAGAACAGTGATTGAGTGTATATAGGTAATGTGGACAGAGGTGTAGAAAAGAAGAAGTAATTTGTTTGCTGTATTGTAAGTAACATAGTAAACATCCTAAATTACTGGTTCCTGTGGCTTCTTTTCTAGGGATTATATTAACCTGCATTTAAGAGACAAAATTGAGTAAATATAAAGACTTGGAAATAAATTACACCTATGTGAGTGTTGTTTTTAAGGGTGTGGATAAGATCAATTATAGATAGTGGGTGAAACAAGAGGAGAGCTTTGAGAAACACCTACATTAATACATGTGTTTGCTTGTACACTCAACATAAGCCAGGAAAACTTTTGAGGAATACTATAACTACTCATCTTTGATTCTTCCAATTATGGCATAATGCTTGACAAGTATTAGTACATCACTTCACATTTGTGTTGAATAAATGCACAAACCATGAATTATTCAAATCATCTCACGAGGAGCCTTACAAACATGGGGAAAATATCACGGCCTCATGCTTTCCTCATAAATGTCCCATATCCAGGTACTGGGAGTTCAAGCTGCACTTCCACAAGTGTCAAAGTTGTTTCTGTATTTTAGGGAAACTGACAACTTTTAAATGAGTCTTCTGAAATGGTTGACCTGGGTCTTGTCTTTATTTTTTTACTCTCACCTTGGGACAACCTCTATTTCCACCAGATCAGGGGGTGTAGGGATGTGATGAAGCTTTGGAAGTAAGGAGAGCTTATTACTTTTTGACTGTTTTTTCTTTCCTCCCTAGGATGTGAATGGCATTATCGAAAGGTACGTGTGGAAGACCAGCAATGCTTTTTTGTGCTGTGAAAAGTGGTTTAAAGCTTTTAAAGTTACCTGTTGTTTAATTAGAATAAAATATTGTTCAGGGCAGAAAATTTTGGATATAGTTTTATCTTAAATATCTGTTCATATACCATGGTTTGAGTGTTCTATATCTGTTTAGAGTGACCCAGACTTTATGATAAGGAATTACTTGGAGGTAAGTTGCAGAGTTTGGGTCAGTAGTAGTTAAGGATAAGATATTGCAGTATCAGACCCATGTGACTATAAATTTTATTCACTCAGCATGCCTGTATCTAACTCTGATTTCCTCATTTCATAGGTGATGAATTTATCATGGGAATATCATATCTCTTTTACCTCATAAGCACCCAGAATTTGAAACACCTTTATATTTAAATTTCTGCTCTGGGAATAGAAACAACCAGGTCCTTCTATATGCATCTCTGTATTTTCCAAAAATGGACTTGAATATCAAGGAATATTTTGACTCTGGGGCAAACAACTGATCCACTTTAGTCATGTACTTTTGAAGCCAGGATGGAAGGGCATGATCTTGTTCCTAAAATTTGGACACCTACTTGCCTACATCAGTCTCTTCAGACTACTGCTAGTATAGTGTTCATAATGTCTTCTTTTTCAAGTGTTATATTTTTTCCCAGAGAACATGAAATCTCAGATGTTGTTGTGGAGGCCTCCCTGCTGGGAAGTGGAGTTTAAAGGTCTTGGTCTTCCCCAGGCAGTATTCCCACACTTGATATACCTCAAACCACCAGGAGCCACTTTCTGCAACTTCATTTTCTTATCATATTCCAAGGAATCTACATCCATAGAGAAGTCATAACTTTTCCTCATTTTAATTTATTTCATGGTATTAAATTGTGCACTTTAAAGAAAACAATTATTGCATATAATTTCATATGATTTTTAGGACTTAGACAGGGAGAGGATAGTTATCATTTTGAGAAGAATAAACTACTCCTGAGAGGTCAACGCCTTCCCAAGGGCACACACTGGTTAACTGGGAAAGTGGACTGAGCACCTTTCTTTTTGGCTTCAAGGTCAGGAGTCCACTCTCTCCTTTCCCAGGGGTCCATAGAAGGGGTGTCAAGTGCTCAAAGTGGTGAATAGATAAAAATCAGTGGTTTTGGGGAAACAAAAATTCAGAGGTGTGGGGATTTTTATTTTTTTTTTTGTCACCCCTAGGAGTAAGACCTTCACTCTGAAGAAGCCAAAAACTCTCCCCAAGAAACAAGTGAGAGTGTTCCAAGATCCTTACTTGAGCAAGGTGCTGCCAGCCTTTAATGGTGAGGAATGCTAGAGCAAGTGGGTGACTGAGGATTTTGTTTTGGTGGGAGTTACATTTCAGTTTCTAGATGTGGACAGAGGAGGCAAAGGAAGATGGGTGTTATGTGCTGATGGGTATTCTGGGCATATTCAACAGGGATTAGGAAGCTGTCTTGGTCACCTCTCATTCTTACATGTACTACCTTATGTAGACACCAGTTTTCCCTGATTGGAAAGAAATAGATTTTAATTATAGATTATTTTGCCTATATTTAATGTTATCAATTTTTGTCATTACAGAACTGACAGATGCGCGACGCTACTGGGGTAAGGAGAAATCACAGTATCATGAAGCCTCCTTGTCTTCACCTTCTGTTAGAATTTTATACTTTCTACTAGATCTAGTGTGTTAAGATGCGTGTTTTCCTTCCCAATAAACACATACATATTGTATTTCTGCAGCTTTATGCTGCTCCTCAAGAACCGAACCAAGTTCTTTCCGGTTCCCACTCATTCTATTCTCAAGATCTGTCTTACAATGTCACAAATAAAGCTGCATGATATTCCTCACCCAACCCTGTGTTTTTTCGACAGTACACGTGACCCTGGATCCTCCCACGGATAAAGCAAATGTTATCATTTCTGCCGACTGGAAACAAGTGAGACCTGCCTTTTATTTGAGAACACTTTATTTGTATCAGAAAGGCGATTGTGAGGATTATGGTGTCCTGGGATCACGCCCTATGACATCAGGGAAACATTACTGGGAGGTAGATGTGTCAGGGAAATATGCCTGGGTTTTGGGGGTATGTGAAGAAAACCCCCCCGACTCCAATAGGAAGGATTTTGTAAGACGAGGTAACAAGCGTCAACATGTTTGCTCTAGATATCAGCCTAAAAATGGCTACTGGGTTATAGGGTTAGAGAATCATTCTAATTATAAGGCTTTTGTGGATTCTCCCTCCTCCGATCCCTCCACCTTAACCTTCACCCTGACTGTTCCTCCCCATCGTGTTGGGGTTTTCCTAGAGTACGATGCTGGCACTGTCTCATTTTTTAACATCACTAACCATGGTTTTCTCATCTATAAATTCTCTGCATGTTCCTTTTCTGGGAAAATGTTTCCGTATTTCAATCCTATGAAATGTACTGCCCCCATGACACTGTGTTCTCCAAGCTCTTAAACCTCTCACACCCCCACCCACTTCTATTGGGTGCATCTAATTCATTGAGCTAACCTGCACCATTCTCACCATCTTTTCCTTGCTACCTTTTTATTTCTATTTGAACAGCCTTCCTTCATCAATAGGATGTACAATTTGCCTCATGTCATATTTTCCCCAATATCTTCTTTGCATTAACAGAGAAGCCTAATTTATCATTTTCTGTAATCCCAAAGAAAAGGACTATTGCATCATAAAAAAAAAAAAAAAAAAAAAAAAAAAAAA